AAACAAAACTGTCAACAAGTAATGTCATTGATGCATCAGTAAAAAGTCAGAAGAAACTTCACTAGAACCTGAAAATGAATATTTCATATCTCCTCTTAAAAGACATTTCCACGGTTTCTGACGCCGTCTTACAAACACGGCAAAAATTACAGTAAATATATGGGGGAAAAGGCGAATCTAATGTCTAACAACTCACCGGAAAATTAACAGTTATTGAACGAGGTTGAGCAAAATAACATGATTTGTCAGTGGCAAGCAGATCAATTGTAATCTCCGAGACACTGACAAATCACGATATTTTGTGATAATCGAGTTCAATAATGATTTTTTTCATTCGATCACCGAGTTTGTTTTCATATCTGTATCACTCTTTGACGGCTCAGGGAAGCGATCCGCCATTTTTCACACGAGAGCGTGGTTGTAATTACCAACTAGCAGAATAATTCTTTGCACTAAGTATGAGCAGACCATGGGCGCTTTCCATTCGACCAAAAATTCCGGTGTGGATTTCCGGAAATTTCCATGGGTGAATGGTACAGACGTTTCCAGTGTGGAAAACGACAAACCGCACGGTTTTGTTCCCTTGGAATTTTTCAATGACTTCGAGGTTTAAATCGCAAATATAGAAGCAAACAGAAGACTGATATGTCGACATCGTGACTTTTTATAGACCACAACAGCAGGAACCTTATACAAACCACAACGGCAGCGAAAAAGTCGCAAAACAAAGGGTTTAATGAGTCGTACAATGGTTCTGTACGCGTTATAAATCTTTGTACATTTCTTAGCCAACCTGTGCAAAACAAACGCGTTCATCACAGGGGCATTATTTTTATGAGACGCTTTCTTCACGAATTTAGCTGTAGCTAGTATTTATCGACATATAAGTGGAAAGACTGTTAAGTATTTCAATTTTCGAATACGCGTCGCCGTCACCCTTGCGTGAGATGTCCAACTCGCTGTCATCGCGGCCAAAAGAACTAGCGCTAAATAGAAAATTGCGAATTTGCATAAATTCCGAAAAAGAGGACAACCTCGTGAGGTGTACCCAAATTTTCCAACATATTTTCCTGGAAATTTCCGTTCCATTTGATTTTCATCCTGGAATTTCCAGAATTTTCGGTTGAATGGTTCGCTTTTCGGAAATTCAACAATTTTCCGGATTTTCTGCAACTTTTCCTTGGAAATTTCCGTACCATTTGTCCCCGTTTCGAAAATTTCGGAATTTTTGGTCGAATGGAAAGCGCCCCATTATTTGTAGGCAGTTATTTGCAAGCCACGTGGTGTGCTCTCGGCCAATGAAAAGGAAGAAAAAATGTATCGAATGATAATATGAGCCAAACTGCGGTAAATAATATTATGTAGACGTAGAAAAACAGAGGGGGAGAGATGGAAAAAAGTAGCCATGTTGCATTGAGTATTGTAAGAATGGTAAACAGCCGAACTGTAGGTACTCTAAGTGTGTGGCAATAGCCCTTTTCACGGTTTCCTTTGCTTATTTGCATTACAATAAAATCTAGCATGTAGGTGAAGCAATTTCGGGCTGTTTTGTAGTTTTAGCCTGAAATTGCCTCGTATCCACGTTGGATTACATTGTAATGCAAATGAGAAAAATTAACCGTGAAAAGGGCTCTTAATTCCAAAAAAAAAGTATTGATAAAAAAAATCTGCTCTACTCCAATAGAGAGTGTCAAAAACAGCAGCAAATCAACTACGTGATAGGGCTGCAGAAGAGCAAGAGTGCTGTAATGTAAGCATTGGTCATGAAGTCCCAGGAACAACAAATAACCCTATAGACTACCTTCAAAAGCTCGCAAAATTGGCTCAAGAATCAGGCAACAGATTTGGAGAAGCACAGGCATATAGCAACCTTGGCATGGCTTATTACCGTCTCGGGCATTTTGAAAAAGCCATTCCCTGCTTTCAGCGTCATGTAATTATTGCTAATAGATTGGGAGACAGGATTCGAGAAGGTAATGCCTGTGGGAATCTTGGCAGTGCCCTTTACAAACTTGGGGATTTTAAAACAGCCATAAAATACAATGAGCTCCATCTTGAAATTTCCAAAGAACTGGGGGACAGAGCCAGAGAAGGACACGCGTGTGGTGATATTGGGGTCGCTTATTGCGGTCTCAAAGATTTTGAAACGGCCGTAGTTTATCTTGAACTCCAACTGACAATTGCCAAGGAAGTGGGAAATAGAGCTGAAGAAGAACGTGCGTGCCGCAATCTTGGCCAAAGTTACAACATTCTCGGAGATTTTAGAAAGGCCATAAACTTCAACGAACTCGGCTTAAAAATTGCGAAAGAACTGGGAGACAGGATAGGAGAAGAAAACATCTATGGCAATCTTGGCATCGTTTACAGCAATCTCGGAGATTTCACAAAAGCCAAGGACGCATGCGAACAGCATCTGAAAATTGCAAAAGAAGTAGGGGACAGAATAGGAGAGGGGAACGCCTATGGTAATCTGGGACATGTTTATAGCAGTCTCGGAGATTGCAGAAAAGCCAAAGACGTTTTCGAGAAGCAACTGAAAATTGCAAAAGAAGAAGGCGACAAGACAGGAGAAGGAAACGCCTATAGCAGTCTTGGCAACATTTATTTCACTCAAGGATATTTTATAAAGGCCGTAGACTACTATGAACGCCACCTTCAAATTTCAAAAGAATTGGAAGACAAACTTGGAGAGGGAAATTGCTATGGAAATCTTGGCCTGGTTTATCATGATATGGGAGATTTTAAAACAGCAATAGACTATTTGAAACTCCATCTTAACATTTCCAGAGAACTACGAAACTTGAGTGGAGAAGGAAGAGCATATGGTAACCTTGGCAACTCGTATCACATGCTCTCGGATTTCGAAAACGCCATAGATTCCCTTGAACTGAGTCTAAAAATTGCCAAACAAATAGGAGCAAAGCCTGGAGAAGCAAGTTCTTATGGCAATCTTGGCGTCGTTTATCACAAACTCGGGGATTTCGAAAAAGCCATAGAGTATTATGAACTCCAACTCAAAATTGCCAAAGATGTAGGAGACAGGACTTCAGAAGCAAATGGGTATGGCAGTATTGGCCAAGCTCACTGCTGTCTCGGAAATTTCCAAAACGCCATCTACTATCACGAATTAGGTCTTGAAATTGCCAAAAATGTTGAAGACAGACAGGGTGAGGCAGAAATGCTTTATGGCCTTGGATCTGCCTTTGAAGCACAGGGCATTTTATCCCAGGCAGTTGATTACTATCAGTCAAGTGTGAAAAAATTAAATGATATTAGGGCTGATCTTCAGCTAAAAGATGACTGGAAAATTAGTTTCCGTCAGTTTAGCGAAACTGTGTACGCAAGTTTATGGTGTACATTGTTAAAACAAGGCAAGGTTGTCGACAGCCTCGCCGCTGCTGAGCAAGGACGAGCACAAGCCTTGAAAGATCTGATGAAGGCAAAGTACAGTATCCAGCCACCGTACGTTGAATCAGATACAATGGAAGAAGAGATCAGCTCCACGTCGAGATGTATGCCACCAAATACAATTTTCATAGCACTTGGCAAACAAGAAATCGTCTTCTGGGTGAGCCAGGAAGGAAACGATGTCAAGTTGAGAAGGAAGGAGATCGTTGAGAAATCTTCGGTGGATGATGTGACGACATTTTTGCAGTCCTTGGCACAAGAGACTCGGAAAGAAATTGATGTGCGGGCTGATGTGAAGTGCGAAGATCGCTCACTAGAGTTGAGAGACGAAACGCCCACAAATGACACATCAGATGAACAAGCAGGATCCCCATCGTTGCATCTTAACCAAACGTCCTTAAAGAAATTTTACGATCTGATCATTAGTCCTATTGCGGACTTAATTCGTGGTAACGAACTTACACTTGTTCCCGAAGGTCCACTGTGTTTGGTTCCGTACGCGGCATTCATGGATACTAATTCCAAGTACTTGAGTGAATCTTTCAGAATCCGAATGATTCCATCCCTGCTTAGTTTGAAACTGATCACAGATTGTCCAGTTGATTACCACTGCAAGACTGGGGCTCTGCTTGTCGGAGATCCGTGGGTACAAGAAGTTAAATATCAGAGAAGAAAGCTTCGCCAGTTACCGTTCGCCAAAAAGGAAGTAGAGATGATCGGACGAATACTCGACATCGAGCCTCTCACTGGAACCGAGGCGACAAAGGATGCAGTGTTACAACGAATCTCCTCGGTGGCCTTAGTACACATTGCAGCTCATGGTCGCATAGAGACCGGCGAAATAGCCTTGGCACCAAGTCCTACACGGGCAACCGGGCGTCCAAAGGAGAAAGACTATCTTTTGACAATGGAAGATGTTCTGAATGCTAGGCTGCAAGCAAGACTGGTTGTACTGAGTTGCTGTCATAGTGGCCGTGGAGAGATTAAAGCTGAGGGTGTGGTTGGTATCGCACGCGCGTTTTTGGGAGCCGGTGCTCGTTCTGTTCTGGTGTCATTATGGGCGATTGATGACGCAGCCACTCTGGAGTTCATGAAGAGCTTCTACCAACACTTGGTCGAAGGGAAAAGTGCCAGTGAAGCTATGAACCGAGCCATGAAGTCTATGAGAGAATCTGAAGAGTTCAGTGGAGTGAAATACTGGGCCCCGTTCGTACTTATCGGTGATGACGTCACATTGGAATTTGGAGCAACCAATCGGTTATCTTGAATTGNAAACAAAACTGTCAACAAGTAATGTCATTGATGCATCAGTAAAAAGTCAGAAGAAACTTCACTAGAACCTGAAAATGAATATTTCATATCTCCTCTTAAAAGACATTTCCACGGTTTCTGACGCCGTCTTACAAACACGGCAAAAATTACAGTAAATATATGGGGGAAAAGGCGAATCTAATGTCTAACAACTCACCGGAAAATTAACAGTTATTGAACGAGGTTGAGCAAAATAACATGATTTGTCAGTGGCAAGCAGATCAATTGTAATCTCCGAGACACTGACAAATCACGATATTTTGTGATAATCGAGTTCAATAATGATTTTTTTCATTCGATCACCGAGTTTGTTTTCATATCTGTATCACTCTTTGACGGCTCAGGGAAGCGATCCGCCATTTTTCACACGAGAGCGTGGTTGTAATTACCAACTAGCAGAATAATTCTTTGCACTAAGTATGAGCAGACCATGGGCGCTTTCCATTCGACCAAAAATTCCGGTGTGGATTTCCGGAAATTTCCATGGGTGAATGGTACAGACGTTTCCAGTGTGGAAAACGACAAACCGCACGGTTTTGTTCCCTTGGAATTTTTCAATGACTTCGAGGTTTAAATCGCAAATATAGAAGCAAACAGAAGACTGATATGTCGACATCGTGACTTTTTATAGACCACAACAGCAGGAACCTTATACAAACCACAACGGCAGCGAAAAAGTCGCAAAACAAAGGGTTTAATGAGTCGTACAATGGTTCTGTACGCGTTATAAATCTTTGTACATTTCTTAGCCAACCTGTGCAAAACAAACGCGTTCATCACAGGGGCATTATTTTTATGAGACGCTTTCTTCACGAATTTAGCTGTAGCTAGTATTTATCGACATATAAGTGGAAAGACTGTTAAGTATTTCAATTTTCGAATACGCGTCGCCGTCACCCTTGCGTGAGATGTCCAACTCGCTGTCATCGCGGCCAAAAGAACTAGCGCTAAATAGAAAATTGCGAATTTGCATAAATTCCGAAAAAGAGGACAACCTCGTGAGGTGTACCCAAATTTTCCAACATATTTTCCTGGAAATTTCCGTTCCATTTGATTTTCATCCTGGAATTTCCAGAATTTTCGGTTGAATGGTTCGCTTTTCGGAAATTCAACAATTTTCCGGATTTTCTGCAACTTTTCCTTGGAAATTTCCGTACCATTTGTCCCCGTTTCGAAAATTTCGGAATTTTTGGTCGAATGGAAAGCGCCCCATTATTTGTAGGCAGTTATTTGCAAGCCACGTGGTGTGCTCTCGGCCAATGAAAAGGAAGAAAAAATGTATCGAATGATAATATGAGCCAAACTGCGGTAAATAATATTATGTAGACGTAGAAAAACAGAGGGGGAGAGATGGAAAAAAGTAGCCATGTTGCATTGAGTATTGTAAGAATGGTAAACAGCCGAACTGTAGGTACTCTAAGTGTGTGGCAATAGCCCTTTTCACGGTTTCCTTTGCTTATTTGCATTACAATAAAATCTAGCATGTAGGTGAAGCAATTTCGGGCTGTTTTGTAGTTTTAGCCTGAAATTGCCTCGTATCCACGTTGGATTACATTGTAATGCAAATGAGAAAAATTAACCGTGAAAAGGGCTCTTAATTCCAAAAAAAAAGTATTGATAAAAAAAATCTGCTCTACTCCAATAGAGAGTGTCAAAAACAGCAGCAAATCAACTACGTGATAGGGCTGCAGAAGAGCAAGAGTGCTGTAATGTAAGCATTGGTCATGAAGTCCCAGGAACAACAAATAACCCTATAGACTACCTTCAAAAGCTCGCAAAATTGGCTCAAGAATCAGGCAACAGATTTGGAGAAGCACAGGCATATAGCAACCTTGGCATGGCTTATTACCGTCTCGGGCATTTTGAAAAAGCCATTCCCTGCTTTCAGCGTCATGTAATTATTGCTAATAGATTGGGAGACAGGATTCGAGAAGGTAATGCCTGTGGGAATCTTGGCAGTGCCCTTTACAAACTTGGGGATTTTAAAACAGCCATAAAATACAATGAGCTCCATCTTGAAATTTCCAAAGAACTGGGGGACAGAGCCAGAGAAGGACACGCGTGTGGTGATATTGGGGTCGCTTATTGCGGTCTCAAAGATTTTGAAACGGCCGTAGTTTATCTTGAACTCCAACTGACAATTGCCAAGGAAGTGGGAAATAGAGCTGAAGAAGAACGTGCGTGCCGCAATCTTGGCCAAAGTTACAACATTCTCGGAGATTTTAGAAAGGCCATAAACTTCAACGAACTCGGCTTAAAAATTGCGAAAGAACTGGGAGACAGGATAGGAGAAGAAAACATCTATGGCAATCTTGGCATCGTTTACAGCAATCTCGGAGATTTCACAAAAGCCAAGGACGCATGCGAACAGCATCTGAAAATTGCAAAAGAAGTAGGGGACAGAATAGGAGAGGGGAACGCCTATGGTAATCTGGGACATGTTTATAGCAGTCTCGGAGATTGCAGAAAAGCCAAAGACGTTTTCGAGAAGCAACTGAAAATTGCAAAAGAAGAAGGCGACAAGACAGGAGAAGGAAACGCCTATAGCAGTCTTGGCAACATTTATTTCACTCAAGGATATTTTATAAAGGCCGTAGACTACTATGAACGCCACCTTCAAATTTCAAAAGAATTGGAAGACAAACTTGGAGAGGGAAATTGCTATGGAAATCTTGGCCTGGTTTATCATGATATGGGAGATTTTAAAACAGCAATAGACTATTTGAAACTCCATCTTAACATTTCCAGAGAACTACGAAACTTGAGTGGAGAAGGAAGAGCATATGGTAACCTTGGCAACTCGTATCACATGCTCTCGGATTTCGAAAACGCCATAGATTCCCTTGAACTGAGTCTAAAAATTGCCAAACAAATAGGAGCAAAGCCTGGAGAAGCAAGTTCTTATGGCAATCTTGGCGTCGTTTATCACAAACTCGGGGATTTCGAAAAAGCCATAGAGTATTATGAACTCCAACTCAAAATTGCCAAAGATGTAGGAGACAGGACTTCAGAAGCAAATGGGTATGGCAGTATTGGCCAAGCTCACTGCTGTCTCGGAAATTTCCAAAACGCCATCTACTATCACGAATTAGGTCTTGAAATTGCCAAAAATGTTGAAGACAGACAGGGTGAGGCAGAAATGCTTTATGGCCTTGGATCTGCCTTTGAAGCACAGGGCATTTTATCCCAGGCAGTTGATTACTATCAGTCAAGTGTGAAAAAATTAAATGATATTAGGGCTGATCTTCAGCTAAAAGATGACTGGAAAATTAGTTTCCGTCAGTTTAGCGAAACTGTGTACGCAAGTTTATGGTGTACATTGTTAAAACAAGGCAAGGTTGTCGACAGCCTCGCCGCTGCTGAGCAAGGACGAGCACAAGCCTTGAAAGATCTGATGAAGGCAAAGTACAGTATCCAGCCACCGTACGTTGAATCAGATACAATGGAAGAAGAGATCAGCTCCACGTCGAGATGTATGCCACCAAATACAATTTTCATAGCACTTGGCAAACAAGAAATCGTCTTCTGGGTGAGCCAGGAAGGAAACGATGTCAAGTTGAGAAGGAAGGAGATCGTTGAGAAATCTTCGGTGGATGATGTGACGACATTTTTGCAGTCCTTGGCACAAGAGACTCGGAAAGAAATTGATGTGCGGGCTGATGTGAAGTGCGAAGATCGCTCACTAGAGTTGAGAGACGAAACGCCCACAAATGACACATCAGATGAACAAGCAGGATCCCCATCGTTGCATCTTAACCAAACGTCCTTAAAGAAATTTTACGATCTGATCATTAGTCCTATTGCGGACTTAATTCGTGGTAACGAACTTACACTTGTTCCCGAAGGTCCACTGTGTTTGGTTCCGTACGCGGCATTCATGGATACTAATTCCAAGTACTTGAGTGAATCTTTCAGAATCCGAATGATTCCATCCCTGCTTAGTTTGAAACTGATCACAGATTGTCCAGTTGATTACCACTGCAAGACTGGGGCTCTGCTTGTCGGAGATCCGTGGGTACAAGAAGTTAAATATCAGAGAAGAAAGCTTCGCCAGTTACCGTTCGCCAAAAAGGAAGTAGAGATGATCGGACGAATACTCGACATCGAGCCTCTCACTGGAACCGAGGCGACAAAGGATGCAGTGTTACAACGAATCTCCTCGGTGGCCTTAGTACACATTGCAGCTCATGGTCGCATAGAGACCGGCGAAATAGCCTTGGCACCAAGTCCTACACGGGCAACCGGGCGTCCAAAGGAGAAAGACTATCTTTTGACAATGGAAGATGTTCTGAATGCTAGGCTGCAAGCAAGACTGGTTGTACTGAGTTGCTGTCATAGTGGCCGTGGAGAGATTAAAGCTGAGGGTGTGGTTGGTATCGCACGCGCGTTTTTGGGAGCCGGTGCTCGTTCTGTTCTGGTGTCATTATGGGCGATTGATGACGCAGCCACTCTGGAGTTCATGAAGAGCTTCTACCAACACTTGGTCGAAGGGAAAAGTGCCAGTGAAGCTATGAACCGAGCCATGAAGTCTATGAGAGAATCTGAAGAGTTCAGTGGAGTGAAATACTGGGCCCCGTTCGTACTTATCGGTGATGACGTCACATTGGAATTTGGAGCAACCAATCGGTTATCTTGAATTGTAAGTACAACTGTGCTTTGGGTTAGATAAAGAAACTTAGTAAATATCCATGTTTACGTACTTTTCGCGCAATAATGAATATTTACTAAGTTTTTTTATTTAACAAACTTTGCGCAACACAGTTTTGACGATTTTACTTCTCAAACTCATTAATAATTCATAAAATTAAAACAAACAAAATCCCAACCGTGAAGGGGGTTTGGATACCCGGTCTTAATTAACATAGATTTTGACGATTTTACTTCTCCGTTTCCTCCTTAACTTTTGTTTCGATTGAACAGATATATCAAACACTCGAGGCATGTTTCATCGGCTATCCAAACGCCTGGAATTTCGTCAAAAATACTCCGCTGCGCGTCGTATTTTCAACTCTCTATACAGCTACTCGGTGTTTGGATATCCCGATGAAACACTGTCTCTCGTGTTTGATATATTACATCCAAACACCTCGAAACAATAAAAGCACTCGGCCTACGGCCTCGTGCTTTCATTTGTTTCTCGGTGTTTGGATACCCCGATACACTCGCTCTCGTTTTGGAAATAGTACTTACAATAGACAAACTGAAAGTGTTCAAATTTAGGGTTGCATTATTTGTATTTTTTGGATATTTCTAGTTTGGTGTGGATCTCATGTAAAAGCATGATTTCCTGGACAATTTTTAGTGCCAATGTTTTGGTAAAAGTGGGTTAACGGGGTCTTTGGCAGTTGTTGCTTCTTTCTGATTTCCTTTTTCCAAACCCGATTTTGTGTGAGATTTTTGCTGTAAAAAGTAGAATGTCGGAAAGCCATTTGCTAGTTATATAACAGTGTTTTGGAATATGATAAGGTAAAAAGCGGTATCCAGAAAGTGTCAGCAGTATTGCTTAAGTGTACAGTTAAGGCTATTGCTAGCTATTGCTGACCTCATGGCTGATTGATTTATGGATTAGTTTTCCACGTTTTTGACCTGGTTAACCGAATTCGTCATTTGCTTTATGACCCTTTCTAGGTGTGACTAAGACGTTGTGTTTACATAGCTGCCTACCTTCATTTTGGAACACTGTACCTGACTAAACCAGGACCTGTATGTAGAGGAACTCTTACAATATAAAACTTTAAGTATTATTGCCGATCAAGGCTTTAATGTCTGAAGGGAAATTAACAGCAATGAGAGCTTCACAATAGTTTGCTTAGTTTGACGTGGCGTTCTTAATTCTAGTTCCCAGTTTCCTCTGTGCAACGTGCCTGCAGTGCATCATGGTAGCTGCATCGAACAGTTTGCAAGTTTACTCGTTAACCTTATTAAGAAGTCTGTTTTGCGCAAAGCACTGTTCCATCCTTTTATGTCTTCGTTCCCGAAATTCTTCATTGCAAGATCTGAAAATGGCCGCCCCTTGAAAACACTTATGCTATGTTGAAATATAACGACCATGATGCACTGCGGGCGGCTCTTACCGGCATCGTGCAGGTATTAGCAATACTTGTTCGCTGTTCATTCGGAGTGGTGTACGTTTGACGTAAAAAGGTATTTTGGTACAAAAAAAAGAAAAAAAGTTAACGAGCATTAGTCTGTGTAAAGACACTTTATGCTCTTTTTAGGTACTGTTTATATGATATAAGGGTCTTTAAATCGCATAGAGTTGTTAAGTAGAAGAACGCTCTCCGTAAAGAAATAGTAGAAGCTAGAAGAGGCCAACAATATCAATATTTGTAAAACCAAATTAAGTAGAATTTAAAAAGAAATAAGTTACAGTTACATTTTTAGTGTTTATAACAAAAGTGAAAAGGTGTAAGTTTTTGTAACTAATGTTTTGATCTGTAATTTTGTTATTCAATTTTTTTTAGGATATGTCCACGGTACGATAAGTGCAACCTTTCGTAACAAACGTATTGTCTTTTCTCGCAGCCAGGTTGAAATTGTTTCTTTTCCTCCAAAGTAATAATAGTTCATCTTTAATATACTTTTGCTACAAAACTTCAAAGGAACGTTTGTTGCTGAATTATACATTGATAAGTTGGCTGTACTATACTGTACTGTACTGTACTGCACTGTACTGTACTGTACTGTACTGCACTGTACTGTACTGTACTGTACTGCACTGCACTGCACTGTACTGCACTGCACTGTACTGTACTGCACTGCACTGTACTGTACTGTACTGTACTGCACTGCACTGTACTGCACTGCACTGCACTGTACTGCACTGCACTGTNCCGGGCGTCCAAAGGAGAAAGACTATCTTTTGACAATGGAAGATGTTCTGAATGCTAGGCTGCAAGCAAGACTGGTTGTACTGAGTTGCTGTCATAGTGGCCGTGGAGAGATTAAAGCTGAGGGTGTGGTTGGTATCGCACGCGCGTTTTTGGGAGCCGGTGCTCGTTCTGTTCTGGTGTCATTATGGGCGATTGATGACGCAGCCACTCTGGAGTTCATGAAGAGCTTCTACCAACACTTGGTCGAAGGGAAAAGTGCCAGTGAAGCTACGAACCGAGCAATGAAGTCTATGAGAGAATCTGAAGCGTTCAGTGGAGTGAAGTACTGGGCCCCGTTCGTACTTATCGGTGATGACGTCACATTGGAATTTGGAGCAACCAATCAGTTATCCTGAACTGTAAGTACAACTGTGCTTTGAGTTAGATAAAGAAACTTAGTAAATATCCATGTTTACGTACTTTTCGCGCAATAACGAATATTTACTAAGTTTTTTTATTTAGCAAACTTTGCGCAACACAGTTTTGACGATTTTACTTCTCAAATGCATTAATAATGCATAAAGTTAAAACAAAGAAAATCACAACCGTGAAGGAGGTTTGGATACCCGGTCTTAATTAGCATAGATTTTGACGATTTCACTTCTCCGTTTACTCCTTAGTTTTCGTTTCGATTGAGAAGATATATCAAACACTCGAGACATGTTTCATCGGCTGTCCAAACACCTGGAATTTCGTCAAAAATACTCCGCCGCGTGTCGTATTTTCAACTCTCTATATAGTTACTCGGTGTTTTGATATCCCGATGAAACACTGTCTCTCGTGTTTGATATATTACTTGAAGTTTAATATGAAACGTACCGTGATTTTTTAATTCATGAGAGGTTGTTTCTTTTCAAGACCACGTATGCAGAGAATCATTCTACGCGGGCGAACCTTACGGTAGACAAACTGAAAGTCTTCAAAGTTAGGGTTGCATTACATTTGTATTTTTTGGATATTTTTAGTTTGGTGTGGATCTCATGTAAAAGCAATTATTTTCCAGGACAATTTTTATTGTCAATGTTTTGGTAAAAGGGGGTTAACGGGGTCTTTGGCAGTTGTTTTTTCTTTCTGATTTCCTTTTTTCAAACCTGATTTTGTGTGAGATTTTTGCTGTAAAAAGCAAAATGTCGGAAAGCCATTTGCTAGTTATACAACAGTGTTTTGGAATATGATAAGGTAAAAAGCGGTATCCAGAAAGTGTCAACAGTATTGCTTAATTAAAAGTTTACAGTTAAGGCTATTGCTAGCTATTGCTGACCTCATGGCTGATTGATTTATGGATTAGCTTTTCACGTTTTTAAGCTGGTTAATTGAATTCTTCATTTGCTTTATGACCCTTTATAGGTGTGACTAAGACTTTGTGTATACATAGCTGCCTACCTTCATTTTGGAACACTGTACATGACTAAACCAGGACCTGTATATATATAGAGGATCCTTATAATATAAAACTTTAAGTATTATTACCGATCAAGGCTTCAATGTCTGCAGGGAAATTAACATCAAGGAAAGCTTCACACCAAGTGACTTGCTTTGTTTGATGTGGCGTTCTCAATTCCAGTTCCCAGTTTCCCCTATGCAACGTACCTGCGATGCATCATGGTAGCTGCATCTCGCATACTAAGCCCAAGACGAGTTTAACCGCAAACCGTATTAAGAAGGCTGTTTTACCCGGCAAAGCATTGTTCCATCCTTTTAGGTTTTCGTTCCCGAAATTCTTGATTGCAAGGTCTGAAAATGGCCGCCCCAGGGCAACACGGATGCTATGTTGAAATATAACTGCCATGATGCACTGCGGCGGCTCTCACCGGCATCGTGCAGATAGTTAGCAATACTCGGTTCGGTGTTTATTTTGAGTTTTCTAACTTTGAAGTAATAAGAAATTTTTGCGCAAGAATGACAAAATGTTAGCGTGCATTATAAGTTGGTGAAAAAAAGGTTTTGACACTTAAGAGTACAGTTTTGTTAATCATACTTCAGCTAGCGCCACAACTAAAAAAAAATTGACCTAGGGACGTTTAGTAATGTAGTTCACGGATAACCCTAAAGTTCTAGATCCCACAATACCTTGAGTTACTATCGTGGGTAGGGGAGGAGGTTTCTGAGGGGATGAAGTTGAAGGGGACAGGAACTTCCGAGAGAATCTCGCCTATCAAATGAGGCTCCTTATTCTTCATTTCTTGCCATAGATGTACTATAAAAAGTGGAATTCGAAACTTGAATTTCAACTCAGGTGAAATAACGATTGCGTATTGCCTTACCACGTATGTGCTGAATCCATGTTTCTTGCATTCTCGTCCCCAGAGGTCGCGCTCCTTTTGGTCAACACCAAGAATCGCGACCTGGACCCGATTTTCTGAGCATGCGCAGAGTTTTCATTTCGTACTTTCAGCCAATCAGAATTATCAGATTTGACGGAAAGTCCGTGAATCGCGGACTTCCGGTGTTCAACCAGCGATTCTTGGTGCTGACCAAAAGGAGCGCGGCCTGTAGTCTAGGGACGATGATGCGTTTCCTGCGAAACGTAGCCGCCTGCGTTAAAAACTTGGTCGCCTAACTTTCAAATAAAAGTTTGTATAGTTTTTGTCAGTAAGTTGTACTGGTTTGTTTTTCGTGAGTCTGAAACCAGAAATTTGTTGGGTAGGATAGGTTTCTGACGATCTTAGAGTAGCACAGAGGGATTTTATTGTATTCCTGTTGTTTACGCCGGATGGTCCAGATATATGGGTTATTGACCAAGTGTGAGGACAAGATGGCTGGATATTGGCCAAGTTCTTTTCTTGCGTGTTTATGGACCGAGACGGAGTCGAGGTCC